TCCTGACTTGTGCCTGGAACTACATTCACGTAGTTAAGTCCCTCCCTAACTCTTGCCACTCTCTCCCCACACAAATTATTTTTCATACAGCCATACCACACAGAAGGCAGTCATTAAGCTCACTATGGCCATGCCAATTGTTTGAAAGAGCTACCTAATCATTTGCATTCCAATGTTTATTCCTCATAGCCTTGTAAGTTTTTCCTTTCCATTTCCCTGTTGTAAATTACTATTGAATCTGCTTCTAGCAAATTGTAACCTGATTTAAAACACAGAAATATACTGCAGAAGCATCACACTCCTTTCAGAGTTACCCCATCCCTGCCCCTCAAAGTTGATATGACAACGATGTAATAGATGAATTGCCATTTGCAATGGATATGTCTAAGTGCAGGTTTGACTATAGCTATTCCCAAAAGTGATGGCTGGAGAAGTTACATGCAGACCAAGAAAAGCAAAATGATTTCCCTGACCTCTATAATGTGGTGCCAGTGTTTAAAGTGAGCTAAAAAAAAGGTGAGCCTGCTGTTATTAGAGGGACAGTCCTCTGGCAAATGGAGCAATGCCCAATTACACAGTTTGTTTGCTACCAACACACTAGTAATGTAAACATGCAGTAAAACACTGTGCAGGTATATCAGTTTCACAACTTCGTCAATGCTAAAATGCAAAGGAATGTCTTATCTAATTCGAATCTTTACCTCATCTAATTTTTGACAATGCATATTTAAATACAGCTAAGTCTTATTTTGCAATCTATCTTCATCCTGCAAATTTTCAAGATTATAATTATAATTAAGTATGGTTATAAAGCATATGTAAACACCAAACTGAATTTGTTGTTCAAAAGAAGTTTATACTCCTTCTATAGCATATTAAATAAATGGCATATAAAGTAAATGCATTTAATGCTACAGTTAAAAATCACATCCCGTTGTTTGATATGAATACATTTTCTGGATTGAAAATGGCCTTTTCACTATACCCACTTTATGGAACTGCTTGATATCCCTTTAGGATAATATTGTTATAAAATTTATTAAAACTTCTCTATCAGTTATTTGGAAGATAGTATTTCAAAGAATTCAATGCAGGGAATCAGAATGCTAATTTCAGCTATACAAAATAAATTTTAACTTCAACTCATTTCAAATTACCAAAATGTTCAGTTTATCCCTGTTATTGCAATTATTGTTTATGTGCCTCTGCAAAATCAATTTTGCAAAACATTTCAAATTTATAATGATTCAAAAGAATGTTTGAGACATGAGGCAGTGGAGCGAAGAAAGATCAAATATTTACCGTAAGACAAATTTTACTAGAGGAGAGAGTGACACTTGTAGCATTCTTTTAGTGGTCAAAAGCACTTGAATGTGCACAGAATGTTTATTCTGTAATTTCAAACATTTTTGTGACCCCCACATTTCTTGAGACTTGTAGCCTCCTACCAAACTAGGCCAGTCCTGAACTCTCTCAAAATTTGTGGATCTGATTCCATGACTCAATGACACAATGCTTTAAAAAGGTGCTGGTTTCTGTTTTACTCCATCCAGAGTTAATTCTATGACATCAAAGGCATAATATCTTAAAGTGCAATCTTTCATTAATTGGTACATTTGCTTCAATTTCTTCATAAGATATAGGAACGTGGCAAGATGGTCCGTGCATGCTTTCAAGCCTGTTCTGCCTTTCAACAAGATCATGGCTGATCTGGTTGTGGTCTCAAATCCACTTTCCTACGGACACCCCTTTCCTTCTCCAACATAACCTTTGATGCCCTTGTCTATCAAAATCTAGCTCTGCTGTGAATAATCCCCAAATATGTGCTAAATTGTACGGTCAACCAGATCTCACAAGTCCAATTTCATAGACTTTTTTGTCCAAGGGGCCATTCTCCAGATTGCTTACACGACAGTGGAAGTATTATATGAAGGTTCAATCATTTGGGATTCAATCAGTAATGCAAAAATGCCTTGAATTCATACACCAGCAGATGGATCTCTGATGAATTCAAGCACACGGTCAACACCTTAACTGCTGTGCATAATGGGACAATGAGCATCACGTTAACACAGACTCTGCACAAAACACTGTAAAAAGCCAAGAACACTTCACATCCGATTACTGTGATTGTAGATGTCAGCTGTGTTTCCATTGGCTGAGATCACTCTCCTGTTTACACCCAGGATGCTGTTTACAGGCAGCCAGTGAAACAAAAAGTTACTGCCATTCCCTTCTACAAAACCCCATGAAACTTGCTCCCCACCCCCAACAGTGCAATTGTCCCCTCACAGCTCTATTCCCAATTTGCTAAAATGAGATCCACAACAATCCCAAATGGTCCATGCTTCATGCCAGTTTCTGCATGTATTGTTAAATCCAAGCATTGTGCAATTGCTTCCTCAAGAATGCCTACTTTTAATTTGCACAATGGCATACCACTTATGCTCCAGATTTGTGATATACATGAAGTTAAAACAGCTCCACATCTGCATGTTAGCTGCCTACAATAAAGATTTCATCCAAAGGATATGAAGATTTGTGAGCTGCACTTCCTTAGCTTCACAAGCGATGGTGCTGAGGACATTCAATCCCATATAATCGCAATAATCCAATTAGTTAAAACCAGTTAACATTGATGATTGGAATTTGGATACGCGGCAGTTTTGATGGTGATGACAATGAGATTTATTAACTTTTTCAAGTATACATTAAATTTTCATGCTTTAGAAAATAGAGGAAGGGCAAACCTACAGTAAATAATGCATAGGATATACAAGATTAACATTTTTTCAAAATTAGACCATGAAAACAAAAGTACTACTCCATGCTATGCAGTGCCTTAGCACTCAAATTGTTCTAACACCATTCTCAGTGTGAAAAAAAAAGGTTCACATAAAAAACTACACTACTGCATTATTCTTCCAAATATGGTCACTACTTTTGCTGTCATTTGTTCAGTTTGGATCTCTTGAGATTAGAATCTTTGAGCCAGTTTCGGGATGTACAATGCAAAACTATGTTCTGTCACAAGCACGAAGATGCAGGCTCACAGCATTTTATCTCTCAGGATCTGACCTAAAAGAAATGAACATTATAAAACCAGTTCATGTTTCTTCCTACTTGTATTTGAAGATACATCACTGGCTGGCTCTGAAGTTAGCTGTTGAAAGCCATGCTGGAGCCTCATTCAGTTTTAGGTCAGTTTGACTGAAAAAACCTTGGACTCTTGCAACTGTCAAACTCTGCGAAGACTGTTGAGACAGTTTCCTGTCAACACATTTATCAAAGCGCTGTAAAAACATAACAAAATCATTCCCCATTTTCCTGCAGAGGCCTTGAAACACTACACATGGGAACTTTGTATGCTTTCTTACAAGGGTAAATATATTGGAGCCCAGATTGATCAATGGCTTGATACATGTCTGCATATACTTCAAATTTCATCATGTTACCTCCTTTAATAGTTATAGTGAGCAGGTATGAAACTAAGTCAATAACGTCAAGTTTTTGCATTGCATTTGATCTAATAACGATGGAAAGCAAATTCTGCAATAAGCACAATAAATTCTTGTTAAATATTCAATCCACATTACAGTATTCTAGTAGGTTTGATGTTCAAGGTTTTGTACATCACTGCTATGATTAAAATTTTTCCTCTCCTAATCCTATCCTGATTTTCACTCAACTCTGTACTGAGGCCAACAATTAAAACAGTCTTCACCTCACTGCCAGTAATGATAGATGGCCAGCTTGTTGCAGAGTTATGCTCGCTTCACTGAAGTAATACCTAGGCATCTTGTAGCCTTTCAGGAAGATCCAACTTTCGACTAATTGATTTCTCTACCACAAAAGTACTATCTCGATGTGTTTCTTTAAAAAGTGATCAATCTGTTTCTGCATAGTTGTTTCTCAAAACAATCTGTTTTAAATCATAATTGTTGGCTGTATTCTCTATAAGGTAAACCACATCAAGTAACTGGAGCAGTCTAGACAGTGTACAATCAATAAAAAATTGATATTTGCATCACTGAGCTTGCATGAAAAGCATGAAGGACTCCCAGGACATGCTCGAAGTTAGTATTTAAAGTAACTGCATTGCTTTGAATTTATAAATGGAGGACGGAAAATCATTGAAGCGTTTCGCAAATAAGCAGATAGATGTCTTCATAGTTTTGGTCCTTGTTCAAGTTAGGCTTGGAAAAAAAAACCAAACAGTTTAATCTATAATTGTGGGTTTCAAGTATGGTTCATTTAAGCAGAAAGAGAACTTCATGTTGATGCTCCCTGCCTTAGGAGACTCTACTTATTATTATGCTTGAATCTGTAACAGCATCACTGGTTGATAATTCAAATCATTGGCCACACCATTAAGACTCATAATATTATGAGGTCATGGTTCTTTACTGAATGTATGGGTCAAGGATTATTCTGTTGATTCCAAATAAATCACTTTTAAGAATGTAGTTAAACTGAGTGTCTGGTGACTTTTCAACTGCCTTTTGCCTTCCGGATTTGGGTTCAAATGTGGCTCAATAAATATCTTTACTTGTTATTGGGCAATGTAGAATGAGTTTGTGAACTGTGAATATGTTTAACAGTGCAAAATTGTCCTGAGTGGTAATCTCATTCCAGTTATACAACTGGATATTTGGATCAATATCAAATTGGTGTTGCTCTGAGGTTGAAACTGACATACTGATGGAACAGTGCATGAAGGATATTAATGTGCATCTGACTATGGAACACCTGGCCAGGGAATGCCCGATGTTGCTCAGCGAGTACCCGACTAGGGATGCACTCTTTCTCAGTACTGGGCCAAAAGCCTTCCACCTCATGAACACAAAAATTTCACAAAGAACTTGACCTAAGTTTTGAATGTTTCTAATGTGACCTCAGACACAGTGAAAATACTTCTGGTGATACTTCTCAAAAGCAAAATGGTTAAAATCTCAAATAATACAGCAACAATTATGAAAGTTATGTAATTTCATACCTACCTGCCTGGTTGGTTGTGACAGTGACTAAGGCAGATTGGTCATGGCTAGGATTTGAATTTGTTACTCCATTGACTGCAAAAACTTCGAAGGTGTAATTGGTGTGAGCCTGAAGATCAGTGATGGAGACCTTGGTATTCTTCAAGCCAGTCTGCTGGGGGACAAAATGAATCCCATTCCCACAAGGATGACAGCGGCTGAGGTCATTGCTGCATTTCTTACAGATAACATTGTAGGTAATGTCGTGCCTGCCTCCATTGCTCTGGGGAGGACTCCACTCCAGGATCACAGACGTTTCATTGATGTTGGAAATCAGATTCAGTGGAGCAGAGGGTGGTCCTGGTTAGAGTGGAGAAATCCAGTGAATGACAACTTTATTCTGTTTGAAAAATTTGATACAATATTCAACTCACTTAATCTTTAAGACATCTTAAGGGCATTTGTTGACAATAAATCACTGTCAAATATTTTCAAACATATACATAAAGCTTATTTTTATCATCTTGGTTGTCGTACTTCCTTCCAGTTCATTCATACTAACCTGGTTATCTTGGATTTCTAAACTCGATGCAATAGCCATGGGCAAAAAGCAAGTAAAAACATAAAGCTGCCAAGAAATGTGAACAGATATTGAATATAATCTGTTCAGTAATGTTAGTACCACTGGTGATGTTCTGTAGTGCAGTTTTACTGAACTCTGTCAAAATTAACTATTGCTGTTTTGAGTATTTTCTCAATATACTGTACAAATAAGCACGGCATAAATTCCTGAAAATCAGTCCTTGTCCAGACACCGCAATTGGCTGCACTTGATAAACTTTTCCATTGTGTTCTGCACTATAAACAATAAAATCGCATTTAAACGCTCAATACTCCAGAGCAAGGATTGCACCTTAGAAAAATAACAAAGAATAAATGTAGTTTAAAAATGGTGTGGAAATATTTGTAGTTTATTCTAAGTTCATTTTGTGGACTGGACTTTTCAAACTGCATCACAACAGAATGCTCCGTGTTCACGTGGGAAAATGTCCCACACTGAATAAGAGCTTTTTGGAAGCAAAAGTCAATTATTATTATGTGGGACAGGGCACGACAGTGTCTAAACAGGGAACCAGTGAGGCGGAAAACTGGGAAGCAGCTGCCTGTAAGAGTTGAGGAGCAGTGCACTAAAGAAGAGAGACATGGTTACACAACAAAGTGGAAGCATGAAGCTCAGCAAAAGGGAAGGCTGCATAATACTGCAGACTGTAGTGAAGGTCAGCCATTTACCTACTAATCCAGCTGTGTGCTTTGCACAATTACAATTATTAACTCAATTAAATTATAAATATCAATTAAATTCTCTTTTTACTGTTCTTGCACAATGAGTGTTTTAATATTAAGCAAAATGATCATATTGACATTTCTAACCTGTCTTTCCAGGTTATTTGCTAAGGTCCAAATAACTCAGGAATGCCATTATTAAACCTCATTAGCTGACAGGAATGTTTTGGAAATGGGACTATGCAGTTACTGCTGAATATTTATTTGGAAATGAAGTGTAGTTAATGCAATATGTAAAAGATATAAAAGCCTCAGTAAGGGAATTGTTTTCTCAGAGTACTTCTGCTGATGTGGGGTTAGCGTTGCACTGTGCTATAATTACATTTTGTTTCAATTTACATGTACTATCCTCACGATGAAAATATTTCCTTTCAGATAGAACCTTATAATTCTTTCTTCTTTGGAGAAAATCAATATTGATAACATGCATTTTGTGCACTCAAGCTTTCTTCTTTTGCACCTGGTTCTGGGCTTGCTAGGAACTGGGTTTAAAAAGCTAAGTTCAGTGGCATTCGTATGTACTTGCTGCTGGAATTGATCCGCTGAGGGAAGAAATTAAAGACAATTAAAATGTAATGATTTTAGAAGGGAATGGTTTAACATGCAAGTATCTTGCCATGGTACTGCCATAACTTGTTACAGGATTATAATAAACAGATAAAAATCACTTATTGCAGGCCTGCAACAGCTAACTTGTGGGTTTGTTTCCTTGTACGCACAATTTTTAATTACACTGGTTAATGCTTCACGTTTACTTTAAATGGATTAATGGCTACATTAAAATGTGTTGACGTGAACTAAACCAAATGCTTTAAGCAGTGCTGTAAAAATAGTTGATTATAGTCTCCTGGTTTGCATTGAATGAACAGGGATACTGTTTGCAAAGATAACATCTACCAGGAATCAATCCAAACTTGATGTAGTATAACAGTCTGTAAAAATAAGGCTTCACATGGTTCCCTGATGGCTTATCACAAAGAACTTGCATTTCTATAGCGCCTTTTACAACTTCAAAGATTTTGTACACCTCAATGTACAGCGAATTCACTGTTGGAAAAGCAATAGCTGAGTTGCACATGTTAAATTGCCCTTAAGATTCAGCCCCTAGTTACTTAGAGCTCTGACCAGTCTTAAGTTAGCTGTATGCAGCTTAAGTAGTGGGAGGCAACTACAACTGGACTTGATGCTCCTGGCTTAGAGCAAGTAACAGCATGAGTTGCGATTACCATGATGGGATGTGAATATGGACAGTCAGTGATGACAGGGTTCTGACAGGTCTGTAAATGGATACATGATCAAATCATCTACCATCATTCAATTGCCTAGTTTTGTGTGTGAGAGATGGCTACTTGGTTTGTTTTGGATTAGTAACTTAACTGAGTTATTGACTATGGTAAGGTAATGGAAAAAAATGATATAGATGAAAGATTTTATGGAGGGGGAGGTCTTAAAAAGGAAGAAAATAATAATGTTATGCAAATCCTACTCATTCACATTTGGTCTATCCATCATCTTTCTCCACTGATCATACATGGTGGAGAAAGAGTTTCCAGGACTCGAAGATTGGAACTTTATTATATAGAGAAGAAAACAAAATCAATTTTAAAAAAAACTATATGTTTTAAAACTGGGTCTTGAAATGCTGAGCATTAGAGTTAATTTTGAAAGGTGTTTAATGAAGGACTTCAGAAACCCTACTTCCACCACTTCCAAATAACATCCTAAAAGTACTCTGCGATGGGCTGCTATGGCTAGCCCAAGCAACCGATAAATCTTGTCAACTCATGAAAGCAGAAAGGCACATCTGTGAAAATGGATGCTCGTAAACAAGAGAAATAAGTTACTTTATTACCCTTGAAGGAATACTTTTTCTTGATCTTTCTTGACACATCTACATATCACCAGCACTAATAGATTTCTTTCAACAGATATGGAAAGTGTTTAGTTTGCTGGAGGCCAGTTTATTCAAATGGTGGTGCTCAGATTACACTACCTATTAGTAAACGTTTCCCTGGCATAGCACCATTTATCATTCAACATGAGAAACAGATTTACATTTAATGCTTCATTCCAATGGAAAAGGATAATGTATTTCTTTCCAAACCTCTGTTGACAAATATTTTGTGCATAATGTCTTGCAGCCCATTAGCAACTCCAAATGTTGCTTGGAACAAGATTTTTGGCCATTTTGCTATAAATGTCACAATTTTGAACAGTCTCATGGGGAAGTTATTACACAAGCCTGCAGAAGTGAGTTCCAAATGGCATGGACTGAGTGAAAGGTCAGCAATGATGGAAGTTGGAATAGGAAACAATCTAGTGTCAAGAGAGCAAAGGGCAAAAGTAAGATCACAAACAATAAACTTCCTAAAAACAGACAGCATTCGGAAATTACCTTTTAGGAAAACAAAATTTCATAGTTAATAAAATTAGGAGGTAAAATTACAAAAGAAAAAGCTTGAAATCAATGAAATAGAGTCTCTATAGCATCTAATCAGCACTTCACAACAGTCCCTGTAGGTTTTAACTCTGAACTGAGCTCCAAACCAAATTTCTCCATCATAAGGACTGACTAATTCCAGCTCAACAATATTGTTCATCCTTTTTATTACCCGCAATCGTCTATTTGCCAGCTCCAGATTCTATTTTTCCAATGGTCTCCTAGCTAGCTTTCCAACTTCTAATCTCTATAAACTTGATCTCATTCAAATCTCTGTACCCCATGTCTTCTTCCTATGGAGATTGCACCTACCTATTACACTTGCATTCTTTTTTCTCCCAAACACCTTGTTCGGAGATGCTATTACACACCCCTGGAGCAGGTGGGAGTTGAACCCAAATCTCCTTGCTGAGAGAGGGACACTATCACCGTATTACCAGAGCACTTCCTACTATATTTGTTCCCATTGATTTACACTGGCCTCAATTCAATTGTTCGTCACTATTTTCTTTCCAGACTTGCCAGTAAAATAATGGCAAAGTGGACAGAACTGAAGTTTCTAGTACTATAATAAGTAACTCAGCGACAATGCCCTTTCTTAAAAAAAAAAACTTCGTTTGGGGCTAATACAAAATTAGAGAAAAACCCCTTTTGAAAATGGCTCCTTGATTAATATATAGATTCTTCTCATTCCAGTTGGAGCAGTACTGATGTATGGACATTTAGAAAAATTGATTTTGTACCAACATTAGCTCTAAATTGTTTTTTGTCGATACTCGTAAGTTCCTTTTTATGAACATCAAGGCTGAGAAATCATGGAAACATTGTAATTTCTTTAAAAATCAACTATTTTTGTGTAAGAGTTCCCAGAGTACAAATCCATTATTGAAAAATCCAAGAAATCTATAGAAGAGTTACCTGCTAAGAAAGTTATGTTTGTGAATGTTAGGGTAAGGAACAGTTGCAAATTTTGAACGCTGTAAAGAATCATTCAGATTAACATTGCATCAGCAAATGTGATGGCTTTTCTGCATTCAGTTGAAAATGTGATTAAAACACAGAATTATATTCTATAGTCTATTATTCAGTATTGCCAACATATTTCCAAACTATTTGATAGGTTGATACCATTCCATTCTACTATGATAACCATATTAACATTTCATTTTATTAAAATTAAGTCAGCATTTAGATTTAACTACTACACAAACCATGTTCATTTTTTTAATGTGTACCTGTTCAGTGAGAGTGAAGAAGCAGTTTGATGTATCGCAGAACACCAGTTACTTAATCAAGAAATTAAGATTTTGGTATTTGCTAAAGTCACAAACAAACAATTTTCAGTTAAATCAAGCCATTTTACTTTTAAAAATACAATCCCATTGATACAGGAAATTTTGTGTATGAAAAAAAGATACATTTTGTCACAGTTTTCATCTTGCACTCATTAAGCCAATTTGTATAAAATATCTAAAAAGGAAAATGATATTTATACTGTATGACAGGGTTAGCAAGTGAACTCAGATTTGTACAGATTAATGCACTAGTTAATGATGATTGACAATGAAGTGCCATGTTTTGTTTACATTTTAACAAGGCAAGTTGACTAATTGGTCAAGGCATTGCCTGAGAAATGAACCAGAGAATGGCTGTCACCTATACCAAATAATTATTTCTACAGGAGGTATTTGGTATTGAAGTTCAGTTTCTAGAGTCCAGGTTAGTATCTCCATCTTGGATGACAATCACACAATTTCTCTCGTCAGTACTGTTGAAATTTCCAATAGCCAACAATTCCATTTGAGGGAACAGAAGATACAGTCATTTATACATTATTACTAATAAGTGCAAGATAGAGACTTAACTGCCAGTATCTCCTTCCTGGCTGAACTCATCATCATTGACTTATATCTCAGCATCTATCCTGGACTATTCCAGCTATGGCCTTTTGATGTCTTCCCCATCTCCTTTTGATTAATACTTTAGTCACTAGCACAACAGGAATCTCAATAGGGTGATCTTTCAAAATGCATCACAGTACAATATGCAACTCTATTAACTAGTCAAAGAATTGTCCCCTACGGTGACCTTGAACTCCTATCTCTCATAGTTCTTTCCCAATTTCCTGAAAGCGCCTTTAACCACTATTGCTCAGTAGTCAATTACCCTACTTACCTCTTTCTTTAATTTGTGAGATTAAACACAATGCAGTTTTCCTCTTTTACTACTATTATTCAAGTAACACTTAAATATTGACTGTTGGTAATTTGTTTTAAACTAATCACTAGGTGATGATTACTCTCTATCCATTTTAGCTGCACAATTTAATGTAATATGCCAGCATTCTGCTTTGTTGTCAAAAGATGAAAATTCTCAGATTCATGTTCCATTAAAGCACAATTGTTCATTCATTTTTTAAAGATGTATAATGCATTGTGGCGCATTTATTACGTGAAGATTGCTTCGCTATTAGAATTGTACGTGAAGGACCTAGGCGCACTTCAACAAACAGAAAATTGAGAGAAAAATGTAAAATGAAAATTAGACTCACTTGTACAAGGCATAGACAAGGGATCGTTTTCAGCTCTGAAGTAACCCCTTTCACAGGTGCAGTATGTGGAAGCTTCCTGAGTAGAAGAGCTATGTGGTGGACATTTCGAGCAGCTTGGATCTGTCGACAAAGCCTTGTAGTATCCAATTTTACAAGCTGGAAGAAAGAATGGAGTGTCACTGCATTATTTACATAGCTTTATATGGAACCTCCTTGTAACATTTTGAAGTCTCCACAGTGGGATAACACTGGACTTTTAATGGAAGAGAAATGGAGTGTTAATGTAAATAACCAGAGGAGTAAAAGGATGGATTTCAAAACATTTACATGCCATCAGATTTTCTGTCTCAGATGTAATGGTTCTGTTGGTCTGAATGTCATCATTTTGTCATCACTAGACTATGTTTCTCCTAAAACAGGCAGTGGTTTGAATGAAAGTGAAAAGAGGGATTTAAAATCTTTATGTCACCTGAAGGTTATAAACTCATCTCCTCTTGTTACTTATCCTCCTCACTAGTCACAAAATTATCAAGTCGGAATTGGTGCAATAAACTTCTTCCGACTGCACAAAAACCGATTAACCAAAACTATCAATCTCCCCTGGCTTTGGTTTCAAATCTGTAACAGAGGTGAATAAGATTTATGGAACTAGGATTGTTGCATAAGGTTACAAGGTGCTTTTGGCTATAGTTCAGCAGCTTCAGGATTTTACTGAGGGAAAATCAAGAATCACAGGAAAGTATAAAAGGTCAAAGCCTTCCCTCCACATCAAACAATGCTAACCCAAAAGCAATCCCAAAAACAATAATATAACCCAAGTGGGCAAGGGAGACAGTCAGATTAAACAAATGCAGACTCTTAACACTGAACATTCTACTGCACTGGTTTTAACAGTTGTATCGAAACACTAGTTACTGTTGCCCATGCATTCCTCATTTGGTTAGTTTTCAAGAAAATAATGCAGAAGTGTAAGTTGACATATGAAAATCTCACGTCAAACATTTAAAACATGAACCAAATATTGTGTATCCTACTGTTAACTACTGTGACCAAGAAAATAAAGGCAAACTTTATTCATTTCTCGTATATCATGATCATTAGCAAGTATAAATTAAACACACAAAAGTATATACAATTGGAAAAAAAAAGTTAGATGAAAATAACTTCCTGGTCTCATTAGAAGAGTCTTTTGTAGTTGACAAGATAGCGTTTATTACATGTGAGCGACTAGTTAGGAGGTTACATTGTAACAACATCCATCATATCAGACATTGAGGAGTAACAGTTATTAGGTCTCAGTCCTTCAAGGTCCTAAGCTGTTCTGCCCACAAGTCCATATGAAATCAATATAATTGGTGGCTTTATGGCATTTCTCAATATTCACCCCTTCAAATCCATATATAACAAATACAAATGTAGAAACTCAGAATGGAACCTTTCCAGTTCCTGAACAGATGTGGACAACGGCAAGTTAGGAGAATATGGTCAGATCAGCAAATATTATGTTCTCAACATCACGAAAAATGCTGCACTTCATAGGACACTGGCACCCTTCAATGTAATGCTGCTGCTGGACATTTTGTGCACAGGAACAAGCACCATCACAGTGAACAGCAGGCTGCATCTCAGGGCTCCTCACTGTATCTCTGCCTTGCCCTTTCCCTTACCTTTTCTCTAACTGCCAGAGCTTAGAGGCACACAGTACTTCTGCTTTGCCTTGCAGACAGAGTTAGGTAGCTTGTCATGATTGTCAACAGTCAGTCAAGCGAATGGACATGGGGATGGAGAAGGGCCAATAACTGTGATGGAGACTAACTCAACATACAAGGGTGGGAATTGACAGAGCATTGCAAGACATGGGGATGTAATGGAAAACGAAGACCCGGGAGAGCAGCCACAATAGTCCAAGGATGTTGAGTCTGAGGAACATCACCTTCTGCATGACAGAGTGCTGTAGCAACAAGCTCAACAAGTCAGACAGGACTGAATTGATGCATAGTTCCAGCAGATGAGAGCTGTGTGCAATGATCACTCACTAACTTTAAATGTGTCAGTGCTCAAAGAGCAAGCAGTTATGTTCCCAGAGGCAAATGCAGTCTTCCTTTGCAACATCAAGAGCAGAAAAAAAGGTGAACATTTTCAACTGTTTGGAGGCTTTCCATTTTATGACGCTATCATTTTAGACAATGAGAAGATTTAAGGCTATGTTGGGTGTTAAGGCATTCCTTTAGACAGCGTTCTAAGACGGTATGATGCGGAGGGTGGTTAATATGAGTAGCTTGATTCTTATAGATGCAGTTCCATGACTGTCAATCAGCCAGATCATGATATGATAGCTATCCATTTACAATTGTGAGCATGTATTTGCAATAAAACGTCAGCTGTGTCACAAGTATGCCCTTAGAATAGCTTTTCTCTCATTCCCCTCCCATTATGTACACAGTGAAGGGGAGCTCCTGATTGGCAGGACAGTTATGCTTTAACATGTGCCAGTGTCAGGAATCCTGGGAGGTCCTAGCACTGGCAAGTACCTCCACCATTGCCAAGTGGAGTATAGCACAAAGGGTGCCATAGAAACACGGTGCATACCAAATGGGAAAAGCTGCAGAGATCAGCATAACTCAAAAGGGCTCAGGGAAAGAAACTCCTGAAACTAACAGTTAGCCAATCTCCGGTAAAGTTCAGCCCTTGGTACATGACCCTATAACCAAGAAAGAAAAACATTCTCCACTTTTCATCGTTCCTGGGACACATTGACTTAGTCACCCTAGAACTTCTACAGTGGACAGTCAGAGCTGGTCAGCCCCATCTTTGAATGCAAATGGGCAAATTAAATAGTAGAAGTTCTTGTAACAAATATGAATTCTATCATGAACAGCTGTTCAGTAGTTTGCACTATGCAACATTAGTCACTGGACAACCGGCAGAATTGGCTCATTACTCCACCCAGGCATATCGCAGACAAGTTGCTAGGCTACAAAATTACCCATCATCCGTTATCTCAGTATTGACAAGAACCTGAACCTTTTTGGTACGTTGATTTTAAAATTATATCAAACATGGCATTTGCTCACCTGACAAAACATTTTAATAAGATTAGAAGAAGTTCAACATACAAGTATCATGTAAAATGTATACCAAGGAAAATGTACTTCCTGTAATAGGCAGTCTTGGAGTTTCCTCGATTTTTTTTAATTTAATAGACTGGGTGGAGTTCTCAGTATTTTCCTTTAACAAGCTTTCAATTTAACAAGAAAATAGAAATGAATCATTAGCATTTGTGACCATAATGTTTCATCAGATAAGACATAACAGCCTCTGGAACGTTCAATGACCACCACCAGAGAGGGGCATCCAGACCCAGATGATGATGAAGCTATTAGTTTCCTTCAAAAAGTGGTTGAATGGAGTGTGTGGGGTTGGTCCCGAAGACTAGAGCCGCATTTCCTCCTGGGTAGTTGACACGTGGCAGAGCTTCCAGCAGCGCAGGGCAGATGGGCATGTGTGATGTATTGCAGTTGTATAGGCAGCTGTCAGATGCACTAACCTCTCACAGTCTGTTGGGAACAGAGCTGGAGAGCACCAAGCCATGAATTTTTGATCTCCATAAATATGAAGGACAGTATGAATGGGTACGACGCAAATTCAACATTTAGATTGAAACTGAAAGATCCAAACATGCACCAAGACATTTTGATATTCTGATTAAAAAAACGGCTACTGACCTAGAACATTAATTTTCTTTTCTTGCAGTGATGCTGCTAGACCTGACTGTTTCTAACACTGTGTTTTCATTTCAAGAGTTCTAGCATCTGCAATGTTTTGCTTTCATTTTTTAGCTTTGTCTTCTGGCTATCCGAAAGCATAGTCTATCAGTTTTTCAGCTGTTACAGGGACAATATTTTATTTTTATGTGTCTCTCTGCATGTCTCTGATCATAAGACTGCCTTTTTTGTTTAAAAAGTGAAAAAAAGGAAATTGGGATGATTGTAAGTAGTAGGATTAATAGGGCACGCCAGAGTTTAGGCATTCCGCTTGCTAATGTAAATAAGTCTTGCTTAACAGAGAAAAAAGCTTAACAAGTGTAGAGGCTGATGATTAGGATAATTTGAGTTATAACCACACATCTTAGTAGTTTACAAAATATGAAAGCATTTTCAAAATTCAAATTATTATCTCCTGTTTTGGCATGTCGGTAAAAATAAACAAACAGACTGAAGCCAAATATAAAATAGTAATTTTGATTTATAAAGTATTATCTATTAATATTATGTATTAACAAGGAGCTATAGCAATCTTGCACTTGCGAGAGGAGAATCATTTACATGACTGTACAAACAATGACAAGCAAAAAAAGCACAGATCTTTATCTTAAAGAGCTGGCTAGTCTGCCTGGGATTATCCCTGATCTTTTAAGTCATACTGATCCTTAAAAAGCCATTTAAGTCCCAAACTCAGCCAGCAGATGGGATCAACCTGAGCAACTAGGGAAACAAAGAACTGTTATTATTCAATGATCTAGTCAGGGCTGTTCTCAGCCTATACCCATGAGTGATCATCATAGTGCATTTTTATTTTTTTTAAAATCACGCAGATTCAAATGTGATGTTTGATGTGCTCTAAATCTAGTTGTGAGCGTGTAAATAGTGAGGAGGCTGAAGGTCTAAGAACTATGAATGCTCATTACTAGTAATTTGCCCATTTATCTGCAATTTAATGCAAAATACTTTCCATGTTGCAAAAGTGAACACACTAGCTAATCTTTTCTCAGTTAAAAGTCTATTATCTTGACACCAAAGGTTAAAAGCTGTCCCCCTCCACACTGAACTAAAGTCAAACAAAAAATAGTATTAGGTCATTCACTAAGCATGCAAATTACAGCACAAGGGACTTGTTACTTGCATAATTGATGGTTAAAATAATAGACTTTGTACATTTTATTCTAAAAGTTAACAGTCATGTAGTAATGAATTATCCTTTGACAAACAATGTGAAACATTCAATTTAGATACCTTGAATCTATACATTGACATTATCTTATACCTCAGCCAAACTGTTTATATTTAAATACTAAGAATTGAAATTAATCACATTGAGATTGAAATGTCAGCGCTATGATTGGTTGCCACAGTAAAAGCCACATTACAGCCATAATT